ATTACTGACCTCTGTCATCATTTTAAGTGGGGGAACTTGCACAATCGGTGGCTGACTAAATACTTTTTTGCCCCACTGTACACCACCCTGTCAACAGAAGGAATCATAGACATCAAAGCACCAACAAGATTCAGGGATATGACATCATGAAAAGGATTTTCAGCGGCATATGGTTTTAGTATCATCTTTGATTAAGGATTGTGAGTCGCAGTTCTATGGAGCAAGTGTCAAAATAAATGTCTTGATCCATGTTCAATGCTTTTACAGTGTTTAATACACTGTTTTCCATGTATGAATGAAATTATTAATAAAATTGTTGAAGTGCTTCCACACTGGAGGCTATTTCCACAGTCTACACGTTAACTTCATTCTGTTGTTCAAGAGTTTCCCAGACTTTTCAAAACAGCCATTTTCTTGTTGTTTATGTTCCAGCCAGGTCTTAGACTCTTGAATCGTTCTGGGATCAATATAGATGAAAGACTGAGCTTTGGCAAAACTTCTCACTACAAATGCAGTCAGCCTGACAAAAAGAAAACAACACTTACGAGTCTTACAACGATGGAAATGTTTGGCTTGGTGTTTGGATGTAAGGTCACATTAAAAGAAAAAATACTGATCATTTTGAAAATACAGTTGAAATTTCAAGATTACATTTGAAAATGTATTTTGAGAAAAAAGCTGAAATGTGGAGATTACAGTTGTTCCAGGGCAAACTGCCACGGTTGCTGTACCCTCTGAATTAGGGAAATCGTACTTCATAATCAGTTTTAGTAACAAGGAAGGAACTGATGTCAGTTTTAGCAAATAAAAACAATGTGGCAGTAATTATAAGTGCATTAAAAATCAGAAAGTGGTGCAGAAATCTGTATGTGGTAAGATGGAGATTAGTATAAAATTAAATGGCTGGTAATGGACACATGCGAGGATACTGATGGTTACACACTCTTGGAATAAAAAGGATCTATACTGTATCACTAGACTGGTTTATTTCACTGAGTCATCTACACAAGGCATTTTGTACAGGGTATAGCAGCTGTGGTAGTTTGAAACAACAACCGTAATCATTTCAACTGTTTTCTTAGAATTGAATTTGACTTTTTACAAAAAACAGTATTACGACTTTATTATCAAAATAGTATTTTGACTTTTTTTGAAGAAAAAAATAAAATTACAACTTTCATTTTAAATTTTGACTTTATTCTCATAATGATCAATGACTTTTTTTTTACTGTGGCCCTAATACTCCTCCCTACTAAATTACACAGTATTAACCAAAAGTTATTGTTAATGTTAGGGGAGTCAAAGGACTAATTGTAATTATGCTAAATTGTGAATTATTTTAAGTATTAGAGGTAGACATGTTTATGCTATTAATATAATAGTCAAACTTTGAGAAACTTCTTCTGTTTGGTGGGATATTTAAAAACCAGTGTAACCGCTCTTATTTATGTAGGACATAATTGATCAGTGATGTTCTCACCAAATGTTTCCTAGTCCTACTCCAAATGTGGTGTAAGCACCGTCGTCACTTTTTTAGTTGAGCTGTCTTTGGTATCCTGTAACAACAGAGTCACAATGATGGAGACATTGTTGCTATGGTGATGATTGGACTCCATTTGTTTATGGATCAGTATGTGTACATCAAGATTTGGGAAATTCTATGACTCTTGCTGACAGGAAAATGACACATTTTACCAAAAACTGTGGCTAACATTCTGCCTCATGTCGGCTTGTTTCTTGAACCGTGTGTGTTGAAGTGATTAAAATGATTCCCTCCTTAGAGGAAACAATAAAAACTTGCCACTGGTGAGGAAGTTAGTAGCTTTTTCCATGATGGCTGTGGTGAGCTGCTGTGTGCCTTTTAGGTAGTGGAGATGTTGGATGTTGGGGGCCAGGAGAGCCATGTTCTGCTCCCCACATCCATACGGCATCTGCAGCAATCCATCCAGGTTCTTCAGAGCCCGGCCGAGGATGTCACTGATCAAAAACAACAATTCACCAAAACTAACAAAACTAGCATAAAACTGTGTATTATTGGGCAAAGATAACCTGAATAATTTCAATATCGTTTTTCCAGGCCCAGGCTTTTTTTTTCTTCTGCCCAGGCCCGGAAACTAATTGTAGGGTAGCTTCACTCTGACTTCCTTCACCATCTGACTTCCTTCACCATCACTTGTCCAGGCCCAGGCTTCTTATTTTTTTCTTTTGCCCAGGCCCGGACACTACACACTCTGTAGTGTTTAGGACCACGGTGCATCTTCCCTTATCCGCTGGTAAAACAGTGATGTTGTGGTCTTTGCTCAGGGAAGCGACGGCCTTCTTTTCCTGTATTGTGAGGTTGGACGGAGGGACTTTGGCACTGGAGAGGGTGGCTGAGACTTTCATCCTGATTTGCTCTGCTTCTGTCTGT